CGTTGAGACGGAGGGTAGGCGAGGTTCTTGATAGTCCGCTATGCCTTCGCCAGTCTGAGCCTTCGTCCCCGGTTCCTTGGGTGCGACCCTGTTGGAATTCGTTCTTCTCTCTCTCCGTGTAAAGGGCGGAATAGGACGGGTGTTCAATGAGCTCGTCCCTCCGCTCGAACAGGGCTTGCTTCGTCCTTGCCTTGAGCTCGTGTACGTTCCCTCCGGGCTCGACGCCTAATGCTTCTGCGAGCTCTACTAAGGCTGCCCGGTTGAGCCGGTAGTGCGGTTTGTCGAAAGCGTTGTCGCGCAGGGCCCAGGGCGGCATGTTTCCGCTTGCAAGCGTTTAGTGTGCTGATGCTGCCTAGTGGGCCACCTCTACTGACGAGGGAGTCCGGAGGGATGAAGAGCGAGACGCGAGCGGAGTTTCAATTGTCTCCCTCGAGCCCAAGACGGCGCACCGAGCTTCGCTCGGTGCTCGCTTTTTGCTAAGACTTGCGATAGCGACCATCATGCACAACGCTCCTTTCTGCCTCGTAATCTACGACATGTTTTGCCTTAGACCACCTACCTCATAGCATCAATGCCAAGGTCTCGCACTACGTGGCTCCAGCCGTTTGCCGACCGTTACCGGGCGGGCCGACGCGTTGTCTCTCCAGCAGCACGCGACGCACAACAGCGGCCAGCTGACCATCAGCGCTATCCGCCGCCGCGTTCCTGATGCCCGCCTTGCTATTTGCTCCGTTTCATACGAAGGGACGCGTACGCATATATCTATGCAGGCGCCGGTCGAGATGTGGACGGCTGCCCGGTTGACAAGTTTGCCCCCATGTTGCTTGAGCTCGCTGCCGTCTTGGGACTGAGCACGCTGTGCGCGGCGTTGGCCAGCCCGGGCGCGCCATCCCCCGAAGGGCCCATCGTCGACCTTGGGTACGTCAAGCTGTTGGGGCACCGCTCGGAAGGCGTCGATTTCTTTGGAGGCATTCGCTATGTCCAACCGCCCCTAGGCAACCTACGTTTCAGAGCCCCGGTAATGCTCGACGAGAAGACGCGCGCGCAGACCGTAACCGATGCGCGAAACTGGGGCGATATATGCATCCAGCAGCCCGCGTCGCTAGACCTGGGCTCGGAGGATTGCCTGACGCTTAACGTGTGGACCCCGCCGCACGCGAAGGAGGGCGACAAGTTACGGGTGGCTTTGTACATCCACGGAGGAGGCAATTACTATGCTGTACGTGTGGCGAGCAGACCAACGGTCCACATCGTTCGCGCTGACTTCTACCAGAGCGCTCAAGGATTCCCCATGAATACCTGGGTCACCGGAAGCGGCGGGTCCATCGTGGCTGTCAACATCCAGTACAGGCTCGGCCTGCTCGGTTTCCTTGCGGCCAAGGATGTGATGGAGAATGGTAGCGTGAACAACGGTCTGCTGGACCAGCGCGCGGCCATTGCTTGGGTCAAGCGCCACATCTCGAAATTCGGGGGCGATCCGAACCAGATCACCCTTGCAGGGGAAAGCGCTGTATGCTCTGAGCTATCACGCGTAGCAGGTTCACGAGGCTGATGGAGTCCACAGGGCGGAGCGGATTTAATCTGGCAAATGATTGCGTACGGCGGTCAACAGAAGCCCGATTTCCAAGGGATCGTTAGTAGCTTTGGCTCATTCTCATCGAGCTTTGTTGATCCCCACCGCTATAGATCGCTCAAAGCATTGGCACGGATCCTACACCGACCGAAGCGCAATATGAGGTGGGTGTCTCTGTCTACCGCAATTTCCCCGCGCGTTGCCCACGTCTACCCCCCAGTCGTGCTACGCCAACGTCACGGCCGCGACAAACTGCACGCTCTCCACGGGAGCCGACACGCTCGCCTGCCTGCGCGCGGCGCCCCTCTCCGCCATCGTCGACGCGGTCAACACCAAACCCTCGACGTGCAAGTTCCTCCCCGTCATCGACGGCGACCTCATCCAGGACCTGCCGAGCACGATGCTGCGCGAGGGACGCTTCAGCAAGGTCAATTTCGTCGGAGGCCACTGCACGGACGACGGTTCGATCTTCGTCGGCGACCCCGCGACGTTCACGAACACCACGGATGGGTTCGTGAGCGCTATCAAGAAGCGCTACACGATGTTGGTACGCCGATACCGCCGATCCGAGATATCGGCACGAAAGAAACTTACTGGAACGATGGACTTCGATCAGTCCAACGCAACCGTGCAGCGCATGATCGATCTATACCCCGAGTCCGAGTTTGGCTCTCAGTGGGAGAGAGCAGAGCAAGCCTTCGGCGACACCGTGTTCACCTGCCAGTAAGCCATCGCTCGTTCGAATCGGTAGCCCGGTTTCACGGGACGCATCCGCGTGCCGTTTTTAGAGACTGGTACATCGCCGACAAGCTGTACAAAGCGGGCCAGAAGCACGCCTACAACTACAGGTTCAACACCCCGGACCCCGTCCAGCTCGCACAGTTCCCGTGGAAGAAGGTCATGCACACATCCGGTACGTTCGCCAAAAAAAAAAAAAACCTGCAGTTCAGCCCTGATTTTGACCTCGTGCGCAACGCTTGCACCGCACAGACCTGTTCTTCCTCTTCCAGGGTACCAACTCGGGACCTTACCCGGGCGTAGCCTCCCACTTCGCGCCGTTCAACGGCACCGAGCAGGCGCTCGCGACGGAGACGATCGGGTACTGGACCTCGTTCGCGCGCGCGTTCGACCCGTCCACGTTCCGGGCGCGCGGGGCCCCCGCGTGGCCGGACATGACGCACGGGCGTCTGGTCATCCAGGAGGGGCGGAGCTTCATCGAGCAGAGGACGGCGAAATATATCGAGAGATGCAATTTCTGGAACGAGGTGGGAGACGAGATCAGGGTTTGAGTCGACGCGCCTATCATACCTAAGGCTTCCGTCTGCCGCATCCAGCAAGATTGTGGTTCCTGCGATTATAAAATGGTACACTTATTGGGTACATGCAGTTCTTGGTCCGTGTTTGATATTGTGTTTACGCATGATCAAGGCGCATTCACCGAGCTTCAGCCCCCGCCGTCGTCAACGCCACTTCCCTATACGAACGCGCCTGAACAACATATAGCGTCGAGAAACCGGGTGGATGACATGGTCTCAGATCTCATGCCATTTCCGCAGGCGGCTCGTCCATACCGACGACTTTGTCCAAGATGCCCGTGCCGCTCGGGGGCGCCTTCGCTTTCCCGCCTGCGCCCTCGCCTATAAGCGACAAGCAGACGTCAATCGGGACGGTACTATCATCAAAACGTGTTCCCACGGTGTGCTCACCGAGCAGTTCCTCCACGACGTCACTCGCGCCGGTCTCCGCAGCTTCGGCAGCGACGCTGCTCAGGCTCGCGGGCGGGACGTATTCTCGGACGGCTACAGCGATCGCGCTCGCCTGTTAACGCGTACGCGCATAGTCGTTTTCAATCCCACGGAATGTGCCTGATGCGCATATGTACCGGGGGGGGGGGGGGCACGTACCAGGTCTTTGCTGGGCATGCCCAGCGCTTCCGCCAGCTCGTTGATGCGGTCTTCGACCGAGAGCGTGGGCGCACCGTCGACGTCGGCGTCGTCCCCGACTTCGCCGCCGCCGGCTTTGGGTATGCCCGACTTGCGCGCCTTGGCGCCGGTGAAGTCGTAGAACTTTTGCTTTTGATGCTCCTGTGATTTAGGACGGAGACCGCCAAAGAACAAAAAAAAAACAAGGCCTCTCGGTCAGGGAAAAAGGCTTCGGCAAAAACGAAGGGCTCAGCCTGACCTTGTGCACCGCGGCGGGGCTCTTTCCCATAGCTAGGTTCCACCAGCCGCCGAGTTCGGTCTTCCATTGGAATATCCTGTGGCCGTGATAGCTTGCGAGTTAGTGCCGCCGCGTATAAACAGCCGTTCATGATGTATCAAACGCGTCGCGCTCGATGATTCGTACGACGAGACGTCGCCGTATGAAAAGAGAGAGAGAGAGAGTGCCTTGAGGCAGCCGTGCATATATTCGTGGGGTATGACGGGACAAGGCACAACTCACCGGTAGGTTTGAACGGCTAGGTACAGGACGGCGAGGCAGGAGATGCAGTAGATGAAGTTGGTGAGCGAGACGTTGGAGAACGGGGGGCTGACGTGGGTGGTGCCTGCAGGGTTAGTTTTACTCGTCAGTCAGGCTGTAGGGGCGCAAGACGATACGCGGAGTTTTGCGCGCCTTTCTGGGGCCGCCTGGTGGGGAGATCGTCCTTGCTATGCACGACGCCCTCGGAGGGCAGCGCCTCGCTGGTCTTCGCGGACGCCTTTTCGTTGCGCTTGCGGGTGGACATGGCTGCTTGTTGTTGGTGTTGGGGGAGGAGGAGAGGTACTTATTGGGTTGGAGATGGGACGCGTCCATGGCGCTGGCGGTCGAGGTCATACGCATCTCTGAGTGGATGACATCATTGGCGTTTTCAGCCACTTTGACGTGGACGCTCTCATATGTTGATGGGATGACCGCCGACACGGACCTTATTACCCGTCTACGTTACCGTACACTGGCGGTGCGCGACTAGCTCGCGCCGAGTCTACTGTCATAAACAGAGTGCCGTGCCCGAGCCCAGCAACGTGCGGTGAATACGGACCGGATCTGGTGTCGAAGTACTTCAACCACACGTTTCGTATGTAGAGTCGCTGCATCAGAATACGGAAGGATGTGTACCGCACGCATCCTTTCCGTCTTTGCCTCTGACTACCGTATATACGCGCACACACGAGCTCCGCCGCCGGTTTCTCTCCGCCCCGATCCCGCCTCGCGCGCTCCTCGGCTGGTCCACAGCTTCACGCGCTAGGTTGGGATCATGATATGGCGTGGATATCGCCGCTCGACTCGTTTTCCGTTGCGCAATGGCACAGCGATCCTGCGCCTCCCCCTAACCCCCTCGGCCCTTCCCACGGTGCACTTTTTTCCGCAAGCATTCTCTGGTTGCGGACGGAGATCGAAGGTGTATCGAAGACTGTGCAGTGTTCAAGGGGCGACGAGAAAGCGCTGTGCCTATACGTGATCAGAAGTTCGCTACGCGGGTGACGGGCTATCCGGAGGCGGGCGGGTGGTGGCTACCACCATTGCAGCTGCAGCGCCGGGTGCGCAAAGAAGCTCGGGGACGTACCTGACAGCCTTCTCACAACAACCTTCACGGTCTGTGTCGCTGGATTGAGGTACGCCATCTCCCAAGCTATCCGTCTAGTAAGGCTGATCCGCGCCTCATCGTCGAAAACTTGGCAGCAATAAGTTGCGAAAAGCATCCCGCGCTACTCGAGCAACTCGCTATCAGGCACTACATGAAATACCGCATATATCCTGGTCTCTGCTCCGACCTAGGTGTTGCTCGAGAGAAACGTCACACCAAGATCGAAAATTTGCTGATCTCATACGCATAGAGGGCACGTCAACCAAGACACGACGTACACATATTTCATCTGGATTTTCGAGTACACGTTTCAATTCACCATCACGTTCAACCGCCACCGTCCCATTCCAACCCAAGCCAAAAAACAAAAACACAAAAAACTCCTTCGCCTGATCGGATCTCTTCCGCAAGAGAGACGCGCCTTATCGCTCAAGAGCATCCGGTGGCCCTGTTGCTGAGGCACTCGGTCACGCATCCTCCGTTGAGGTTGACGTTGCGCGCCAGTCCGGACACGGCGCTGCCGGCGCACTCGTTCTGGACGTCCTGCGCGGCGCTGCACAGGTCGACCTCCGCGAAGGAGCCGACGTTGGCCGACCAGCTGATGCAGCACTGGTTGCCGGACGACGAGAGGCAGAGGCTGCGCGGGGAGGCGGACACGGACCCGCCGCTGCTGCAGACCTGGCCGATGAGCGTGCTGCACACGGACGCGATGGCCTGGTGGTCGCCGGAGCAGCTGCGGAAGGGACGCCCGGTCAGTTTTTTTTTTTTTTAACGAGACGAAGGCAGGAGGAAAAGAGAGAGAGGACGAACGTCACGTCGTTGCTGCCGCACTGGCGGGCCTGGAGGGAGGTCGAGTTGGTCGGGGCGCTGTCGCCGACGATGCCGTAGAGGGTGAGGATGCCGTCGGCGCCGAGATCCTTCGTCGAAATAACGTAGGCGACCTCGTCGTCGACGTCGCGGACGACCGCGGCCATGGCGACGCCGAGGAGCGACATGAATGCGAGTTGAAGCTTCATTGCGGCGATCGAAGACTGTTCTACAGAGGGTGTCAGAAGGGGACTTGCAATGTGCGAGCGGAGAGGAGCGAACCTCTGAAGACTCTCGGGTGCTTGAGGTCTGGTCTTTCTGTGCAGCGCACCCCTGGTTTTTATACTGTCCATGGGTCCAGGATTAGTGCTCTGTGGGTTTCGGGAGTCGTAGGTTTGGATCCGTCCTGGTGGGTCGATGGCTTGTCAATCGTCACGGTTTTACGCAGTGTTATACAGCTCCTCCCACCATGCATGTCCATGGATCCAGACGGAGCGTCATCTGGCCTCCCGGGATTTGCAATCCGCTTGCTCGACCGTATGAACTCCCTCGGGCGCCAAGTACTCCTCCTACTTACTAGGTGAGACATCGATCCGCTTTCTCCACCCTGCCGAACTGCTCGGGACGGGTGACCGGTATTCCTTCTCCATTCAATCTGCCGCACATTCCGCGTCGCCTCTGAGAGGACCGCAAAGCCATACAAGGCACGGATTCCGTCCCTTCGCTTTGGGTTTGTTGATCGGCGTACGGGTTTCTGCACTGACACCATCTACCTGCAAGGTCGTTGCTGACGTTTCTCCCGTTGTGTAGCGACGATGATATCCGGTCGACGATCGCGTTACGAGCCGCATGAGTTCGACGGTTGAAGGTCGTTGACATTCCCAAAGACCTGGGACGCCATAAGCGCCGCTTTGGTCTGAACAAGAGTTGTGTCCTCGGGACTCCCGTCGAGCTATCTACACCACGAGGCACGGGTCAGACGAGCGGCACGCCGTGCTTCAGCCGGGCAACCCGGGGTGCGACCATGTGCGTATGCCGCCGCCGCCGCACATAGGCCAGTCCAGAACAAGATGATTGTTGTTCGGGAACGATGTAAGATGGGGACTCCTCGGCAAGGTGTCCAGAGTGCATCCGAATTCTCTCAACGGTTGTGAGGTACGGCGTGCACACAAAGTACGGCGGAATACACAGCAAGTGCAACTGCACTCACCGCACGTTGACATCGATGCGTAGCGCCACGGTCAGAGAAAGTCGTATGAGCGAACTCGGCCGTGGTGTGCATACGATGGACCAGCCGCCCGCCATGAGAGAGCCCGCCATCGGCACGGGCGCATGTTCTGTGCTTGTTAAGATGACCTCGAGGCAATGCAGAGCAGTATATGCACGAAGGGTGTCCCGTACGTAATCCCGATCGAAGAGGCTTTGATGGACTTGGAGTGTGTATTTAGGGTGCCATCCGAGAGGGATCCCAGCTCAGCGTAAGCACCAGGACTGGAGATCGCGGGAGCGTGACCAACCGGGCCTTCCTATGTCAGTGTGATCATGAGCGCTCAACGTTCCAACGAGAGGCCGAGTGCACCGAACGCGGACCGGTCTCGGATCGCCCGGGTCTCATGCTGCCAGCCTGAACGCGGAAGTTCATCGCCCGGAAATGCCGCGTGCAGGATTAGAACTTCCATGGGCTTGACGAAAACGGTGACGGGAGAATGAACGCATGTTATAGGTTGACGTTCAGCGGTTGCGGAAGCTCGAAGTTATTTCCTTGTACTTGCTCGATCATTCCATGATGCGTCCAATACCAGGACGTAGCTGTGTAATCTCTGACGCGACAGATAGACACAAATATAGGAACGTACGTTCTTTATCAAGGTCCGAACTCATCTTGAATAGCCTAGGCCAAGAACTTAGTAGACATTGTAGAAAAGTAGTACTTACCTGTCAAACATGATATACATGCATGATGCTCTCTACGAGTAGACCAAACTAAGACTCGCAGACATTGCTGCCGTGCATGCCGGAATATGATTGGGTGCTCTGCTATCGAAGAACGCGAGAGTGCACTTGCGCCGCAACACGCCAAAAAGAGTAAACGCATGTGGCAGTGTCCCGCGTTTTGGACTCGACCACCCTGACAGTCCGCCATCGTCGTCGTCGTCGGTGCCGGCGCCCGCCATGGCCACTCCCTCGCTGTCACGCACGCTCAACAGACTTGTTGCAGCGTTTATTGCCGCTGTCAATAGATTAGACAAGTCTCTCTACATAGACGATACCCTCGCCAAGGTCCGCGCGCACAAATGGGTGTTGTCCGACGCCATCTACGTCTTCCACTTGGTACTCGCATGTTTCTGGATCAGTATCATGCCCGGCTTTCCGTGGAAACTGTTCATTCCTCTATTGTACGCCATCCTCGTTCTGGTCCCGCTCACATCCCAGTTCTTCTTCCGGGGCATGCCAGTGCTCTCGTGGGTCCTCGCCTTCTTCACCTCTCGCTTCATTCCCCTGGAATGGCGTCCACCCATCTCCGTCGCACTCCTCCCTACGCTTGAAACCGTCCTCTATGGCGCAAACGTATCCGACATCCTCACCCGCTTCACCCACCCCTTCCTCGACGTCCTCGCCTGGCTCCCCTACGGCGTCATCCACTTCACCTTCCCCTTCGTCGTCGCCTTCCTCCTCTGGATCTTCCGGCGCAAAGAAGCCCTTCACACCTTCTCCAAGGCCTTCGGCTACATGAACCTCATCGGCGTCCTCACCCAGATCCTCTTCCCCTGCGCCGCACCCTGGTACGAGCTTATCTACGGCCTCACACCCGCCGACTACTCCGTCCCCGGCTCCCCCGGCGGCCTCGCGCGCATCGACCGGCTCCTGCACCAAAACACGTACACCGTCGGCTTCCACAACTCGCCCGTCGTCTTCGGCGCCTTCCCGTCGCTGCACGCCGGCTGCGCCACGATGGAGGCCCTCTTCGTCTCGCACTTCTTCCCCCAGTGGCGCACCGCCGTCTGGGCCTACGCCGGCCTGCTCTACTGGGCGACGATGTACCTCACCCACCACTACCTCATCGACGTCGTCGCCGGCGCCTGCCTCGCCATCGCCTGCTTCTACTTCTGGCTCCCGGACGACCTCAAGGGCGCGCAGGCCGCCGCGCCGCCCGTCGAGCCCGGCGGGGCCCGGGGCAGAGCCAAGTACGGGCTGTACGATATCGACGAGCCGCTGCCGCGCACGATGCACGGCGCGGCGATGGAGGACGACGACGCATCCGATTCGGAGGATATGATCGCGGAGCACGATATCACCTACCGCTCGCCCGTGCCCGGCAGCCAGGCGTTCGCGGCGCAGCAGAGGAGGGAGAAGAAGAACCACAAGCATACGGCGAGCATCGCGAGCCTGATACGCGCGGACGATCGCGTCGAGGATGGATGGAGCCCGATCGGCGGGTCGTTCGGGAGCATGCCGCCCACGCCTACGCGGGCGACTGCGGCGACGGAGCGGGAACTGGAGGGCGGCACGAAGAGAAACTAGGGCTTCGGGGCATGACGGGCTCATCGGGTCGGGACGATTTACTCTGGATTTCTATGTGAGTCTTGGGGACGTGGTATCTACTACGCAGAGATTGATGTCTTTCCCAGATACATTTCTAGTACGCGTATATATCTGAGGATAATGTGAATAATGCAACAATCTCGGATCTGAATGCACCCGAGCGGATCGAGGCCGCTAGTCGATCCCAACGCCGGTCAGGCATCGCAACCATTAGCTGGGAATATCATTGGTAGGATCGACTGCAAACTGGTACATAATACAGTGTAAAGGCACTGGTTGATGCACTCAAAACCGGCAGGCTCCTCCACTTCGCACATGCCACATTCTCTTTCTTTTGACCACCTACAACTATGTAAGCTACTACTTCCATACTGCACAATTTTTTTCGGATGAAATCTGGGCGGAAGTGAGCAATGACGGTTGATCCGCCCAGGGGAGGCCTGGCACGCAGAAAACGTTCGTTGATGCAGTGGCAGTGCCCCCGGCAACTGATGCAGCCATCACATCGGGTCACACCGTCGTTTTATGCCGGTAAGCTCTCACACGCTCTTAAGACGCGTCGTGCGTTGGTGCATCACCCTCCGCTCTTCAGGATAGGCTCTGAGTTGCTACCCGCCACAGACGACCCTATGTCACTAATGAAAACTGCACCCGAGATATAAAAAATGCATTGGTGCTTTGTGGAGGTTATCCGATTGTAATTGGAAGCGAAACAGGATGCATATCTTGTGGTAAATACTCAAAACAGCCTGTTTGCGAAAGTGAACGAATTTTAGAAAATCAGAGAGTCCTTCGATTCGTTAGAAAACTCGGATCTAGTATATTCAAGCATGAATCTACCCCATGATATAATCTCAGAACTCTCAGACACTTCCTTCGTGTGGAATTGTCGTTTGCATCAAGGAGTGCGGCTGCATCAAGCAGTGCCTTTACACTGTATGTTATTTGTGCGATGACATTTCTCACGATTAAGAGCTGGCGGGAGCACAGGTTACTCCCGAACGGGTTCAGGAGATGTTCATTCAACCACATTCAGACAGTGCAACAACCGCTCCTGGGGACATCGGGAATGCGCTGGCGATTGCGGTTTGTTTGTGGGTTAATGATAGCTTCCTTTGATTGGAACCGGGGGGTTAAAAGTTACGGGCCCAGTTCGCGTTCGCGGTCGAGGGCGCGCAGCACGCTCGTGCCCGTCACGGTGGACGTGCTGACGCGCGAGCCGCTGGCGCTGTTCCGGAAGCTGTAGGACGAGCAGATCGGGGAGCTGCCGGAGATGCTGATCGTCGAGGCGGAGAAGGAGCCGGCGGCGTTCTGGCGGAGCTGAGAGATGTTCAGGAAGTCGTTGGACGAGGGCGAGAACAGGGTGCATGGGAAGAAGGTCGGGTGGATTAATGCTGCGGGGCATAACCATGTCAGCCCGAACTGGGTGCTTGGGACGGGCGAGGGCGAGGAGTGGGCGGAGGAGGTCACGACCTGGATCAAGGACGCCTTCAAGGGCGAGCATGCCAACTGGTAAAAGCGGGCTGCGTGTCCCAAACTATGGAATGCCGTGTTCTATATGAGGGTTCTATGTGATAACAGGTTCATTCTGTACTTATGTTGTTGAGGCCTTTCCCGGTCGTAACTCGTAAGGTGACGACGGACTACGTTTGCGCTCGCGTGACGGGGGCAGCAGAAGGCGAGAGGCGCACAGCCACGCGGCTACCGCGAAGTCGCCGAGCGGCCCGACCCGCGGATTCCCAGTTAGGCAAGCTCGGCGACGCAGCTCCACCCGAATCGCGTAAAGACCCCTAAACGTGGGTCCGTTGCCTATCATAAAGGCCCGCGCGTCCCGACCTGACGACTTCACCTCCCGTCCTCCCCCCCCTTCACTCACATCCAGCGGGGGTCACTCACAATGCGCTCCTTCTTCCTTACCTCCCTCGCCGTCGCCGGCCTCGCCAGCGCCGCCGTGGCACACATTGCACCGGACGCCGAGCGCCCATATCGCAAGTCGCTCGGCTTCGGTCCCGTTCACCCCCATGCGGTCTTCCGCTCCGCTCCTTACCAGGTTCAAGCCGCTGGCCTTCGCGCGTCGCCTGACGTGGATCCGCTGGACGTCGCGACGACTTTTGTCGTGAACCACCTTCGCGACGTTCTCAGCGAAACGAGCTCGTTCGTCCTGCGGGAGGACTCGTACACCGACGAGGCGACGGGCGTCACCCACGCGTACTTCCGCCAGATCGTCAACGGTGTAGAGGTTATCGACGGAGATCTCAACGTCAACGTCAAGGACCGTGTCGTCCTCTCTTACGGTGACTCGGTAAGCCGTCCCACCTACCCCAGATGCACAGCCACTGATGGCTCGCCCCCATAGTTCTTCCATGGTCCGGCTCCGACCGTCGTTGTCGAAGAAGGTGCTAGCGAACGGGATCCTCATGGCGAGTACTGCTCGCGTCTTGAGTCCCAGCTGCTCTTCAGGCCGGAAGCAACTCGCGGAGAGCAGGTTGCCCTCCACGCCTCTGAGGCTGGCAACGCCGAACTCATCCAGGCGCTTCACCAATCCAACTGCGGCTCCCGCAGCTTCGTGGCCGAGTCTGCCATTCATACCCACAACGACGAGTTCACGAACAAGCCCGCCCTCCTCGCGTTTATGATGCACGCGACCCCGTCCGAGTCCGTTGCGCAAGACATCAATGCCAATTTTAGGAAGCACATCGTCAGGATGCGTTCCACCTTCGACACGGCGTATACCGGCGATCATGCCACCACCGTGGAGTACATTCACAACGTGCCGGATACCGTGAACCCTGTGAAGGCACGTATTGGATATATCCAGGTCCCTGAAGGCGGCAAGACCGTCCTGCTCCCTGTGTGGAAGTTCGAAGTCGAGATGGCGGACAACTGGTATGAGGCGGCCGTCTCCGTCACCAAGCCGCACCGCATCATCTCCGTTGTCGATTGGGCTTCGGACGCGTACGCTCCCATTCGGCGCGAGCAGGAGAGCAAGCAGCCGACGTACCACGTCTTCCCGTGGGGCGTGAACGACCCATCCGAGGGAAACCGCACCTTCTGGAACGCGAAGCCCGATGCGATCGCCTCGCCCGTCGGCTGGCACACGCTCCCCTTCGAGAACGACCCGCAGTACTTCGGCGTTCGTCGCAAGGCCGGCTCGGAGAAGTTCCGCAATACGACGACGACGTGGGGCAACAACGTGTTCGCGCACGAGAACTGGGAAGGCCGGAATGCCTGGGTGGACAACTATCGCCCGGACGCCGGCGCGTCGCTCAACTTTTCGTACGCCTACGACCCGCGCGAGACTGGCTCGGAGGACGCGCTCGCCGAGGCGAAGGGATATATCAACGCCACGGTCACGCAGCTGTTCTACACGAGCAACCTGGTCCACGATTTGTTCTACCGTTACGGGTTCGACGAGGTGTCCGGCAACTTCCAGCAGCACAACTTCGGTCGTGGTGGCGCGGAGAACGATGCTGTCATTGCCAACGCGCAGGACGGCAGCGGATACAACAACGCTAACTTCATGGTGAGTGCTACTGACCATGAGATCGTAACGCAACGGCTGATTCACCCCTTCCCCAGACGCCACCCGATGGTCAGAACGGGCGTTGCCGCATGTACCTCTGGAACACGGCGAACCCCTACCGTGACGGTGACCTCGAGGCTGGTATCGTCATCCACGAGCTCGCGCACGGTCTCAGCACGCGTCTCACCGGTGGTCCTGCCAACTCGGGATGCCTTGGTTGGGGCGAGTCGGGCGGTATGGGCGAGGGCTGGGGCGACTTCCTCGCCACCACTATCCGGAGCACGGCCAACTACTCGGACTACCCCATGGGCGAGTGGGCCGCGAACCGCGTCGGTGGTATCAGGAACTACGTCTACTCGCTCGTGAGTGCCTGCTTCCCGCGCACACTTGCTACGCATCGTCTGACCGTTGTCGTCAGGATGAGACCATCAACCCTTCGACGTACAAGACGCTCGACAAGCCCGGCTACTGGGGCGTGCACGCGATCGGCGAGGTCTGGGCCGAGATCCTCTGGGTCGTCTCCCAGAAGCTGATCGCCAAGCACGGCTACTCGGACACGCTCTTCCCGCCGCAGCCGCTCGAGAACGGCACCGTGCCCGCCGGGGACTTTTACCGGCCGCGGGAGCACTACACGCTCACCACCGCGTCGGGCGCGCAGGTCACCAAGGCGAAGCCGCTCGTGCCCAAGCACGGCAACTCGCTCGCGGTGCAGCTCGTGATCAACGGCATGAAGCTGCAGCCGTGCCGCCCGAGCTTTTTCGAGGCGCGGGACGCGATCGTCCAGGCGGACCAGGTGCTGACCTCGGGCGAGAACTTTTGCGAGCTGTGGAAGGGCTTTAGCGAGCGCGGGTTGGGCCCGGACGCGCGCGTCGACGGCCGGACGCCGTGGGGCGGAGGGGTGCGCACGAACGACTATGAGGTGCCGTTGGCGTGCAAGGAGGAGAAGATTCCGGAGGATCCGGAGGACGTGAAGCTCGACTTTATCATCTGAGCGCGCACGGGGATGGTGCGTCTTGGCGTTTTTCCTCTGGTAATAGCCTGATACATAGACCCCGGTGTTGTTCCGTTTGGATAATACAGCAATCATATCTTTTGCATATACATCGTTGTACTTTTACATACCATGAACAATCATGAGATTAGTCGACGCCGTCGGTGAGTACAGTCGAACGTCTCATAACGCATAGCGTCGGTTACACCCTCATTGCTATGCATTATGAAGTTTATGCACTTCCAGCAGCTGACCCTAACCCTATGCAAGCCCAAGAAGGTAGTACCTAACCCTAAAGGCACTGCTAACATCACGTGAGGTCCCAGCGTGAAATCTTTACATAATTTTAGGGGCTTACTTGTCCATATATGGAAGATATATAGCCATATTTGGTATGCCCAGCCTATCTGATAATGCATAAAGGTACGATTTGGGCTATGCGTTATGCAATTATGCAATTTGCCCGCAATTCCCTGCAAACCATGGTGGTTACAGGCCAAAACCGATGCATTATCAGATTTATGCATTATCACCCTATGCATTATGAGGTGTTCGACTGTAAATCCCAGTTCACACGCCTTGTCGGGCGGAATTGCCTTCATGAAAGCGGCTTTTCACTTGACCGTGAACCTGTGCGTCTGGCGAGCTTTGATGGATCATCGCGAACTCTTGATCCCTACTTCATAATTGGGCGCAAAAGCCGTTGCGAGTGAGAACCGTAGCCATAACCCGTTCATCGGCGCAGTAGATTCTCAGCCTGGTTGCTGGCTGCGTCGAGGTCAGTATGCTATGAAAGCCTCTTGTTCGCAGCTTATGCTATCGGACCAAGGGACTCGGCACCGCCATGGATCCATGTTTTACTTGCACCTGCCCTGCTAGGCCGTTTCACCTTGCATCCTCCCACCGAGAGGTGGGTCATGGTGCGTAAGTATACGCATCCTATACAAAGCTCTGAAGACATGTTGATGGCATCAGCATTCGCAAATTCCTTGCACACAGAATGCTACACTACTGCCACCATCGCGCAACAGCGCCGCCGGGGAATCGTGCCCCTTTTCGATCCACTGAATGTACGTCCTGGCGTTGAATGCTTTTACTGTAGATTCACGCCAGATGGGCTGGATCAACCGGTTTTCCCTCGTCAGCGGCGAATCGAGGTTACGATGCGCCCCATCTACATAGCTCATCGGGCCGCAACCCTATAAAAGCTTCCGCCACAGATTGTGAGCTGCATCCCAACACTTCCTCAGGCCGTTTGACATGGCTTTCTCTCTTTTGACCTTGTCCGTCGCCACGTTGACCGTGCTGTCCGGCAGCGCCGCCGTTTTTGCATCTCCGTTGACGTTGTCGCTCTCCAAACGGGTGTCCTCTTCTATCGGTGTCCCCGGCATCGACGCCGTGCAGCGCCAGATCGCTCGAACCCAGAACAAATTGCTTGCCGCGAGGTCAAGCTGGGAGGCACGGCAGGATCACGCCTTAAGGAAGCGCGACGTGGACCTCGAGCTGCGCGCATCTCAATCATCTCCAGGGCAAGGCTCGGCGGACTTGACCGAATGTATGGGATTTCTTTTGATCTCATATCGTACCCGAATTTTAGACTAAACCAAGTTTCATCGATCTAGTCTTCGTAGATGTTATCGATGAAGCCTATTACGTGACAGTGCGCGATACATGTCATGGCATGTTGACTTACTCTCATGTCCTCGATTTCCAGGTTACAGTGGGGACGCCTCCCCAAGATTTCTTGGTGGTGGCTGACTCAGGCAGCTCGGACTTCTGGCTCGCGGCGCCCGGTAGTGATGGTATAGATGTCACCTTCGATCCAACGACGTCAAGTACCTTCAAAGGTTCAGACACCCCCGTCCGGGACGCGTTCGTTCTTTCTGATTCATCCGGAGGTCTGTATTCTGATCGAGTACCGTCGTCTAGATATGGGAAAGGCTTCTTCAACGGCTTCCTAGGCACCGACACAGTCAGCGTGGCCGGCTTCACCGTTCCGACTGTGATTGTCGAAACGGGTGTCTCCACCTCGGACGCGTTCTCTTTCCGGCAGTTATCGGGTATAATGGGCTTCGGCTGGGGAAAAATATCAAACTCGGGTTTCAATACCTTCGCCGAGCAGCTCGTGTCAGCGTCTGTGCTGAGTGAAAACGTGGTCAGCTTCCATCTGGGAAGGGCTATCGATAGCGCTAGCCCTCAACAAGCAGAATCGAACGGAACTTCGAAGTCCGGCGGATCGTTGACAATCGGCGGGGTGGATAGCTCGACTGTGGGTCGCTCTCGGCCGTGCCATGATATTGATGCTGAAAGTTCGGCTCCCTAGTTCACGGGCAGCATCGACTTCTATCCCATCGTAGCCGAAGCACACTGGGTTGTGCAAGCGGATGGAATGGCTGTGAATGGCTCGTTGGTACCGGGTACTAGTGGCGTTCAAGCTATGGTAGGCCTCCGATCCAAATGCCAGTTCTTCGTTTCTACACACTCCTGTCTCGTTTCTCGCAGATGGATACGGGAACAAGCCTTGTAGTCATGCCCGATGCTATCTTCGACGCGTTGACGACGGCCATGGGAGCCAAAGTGGTTCAAGGAGCAGCTTTTATGCTGTGCGACTCGGTCCCAGCCAATGTCTCCCTGCGTCTCGGCGGGAAAGACTACGGATTTGCGCTCGAGGACCTCGTCCTAGGGGCTGTCCCGGTTAACACAACCGCTCTGTCGCAGCAGCTCGGTTTCCCGGAGGGAACTCTCGCGTGCCTTCTGCCCTTCAGCGGCGGGCAATCGCAAAGCGAGCTTGGTCAAACTGCACCGATGATAATAGTTCGTACACGTTTTGCCCGCCGTTCACCACGATTTGTGCTCACGCGCGCATCGTAGTTTGGCGACTCGTTTTTGAAGTCCTGGACGTCTGTATTTGACATCGGCAACAAGCAGGTGGGTCTCGCAGCCGCATCACCTGCTTCGTCGCTCTCCACCATCTCGGACGTCCTCAGCCTCAAGTTGAAACTCGAAGGCTTGCCGGCGTCGTTGGACCATTCTTCTACTAGCACTGCGGGATTGCCTTCGTCCACTGGCAACGCGGTGCACTCGGCTGCAAGTAGTAAGAGTGATGCCCTTGGTGGTATGATGCTTGTACTTTTTGGGGCAATGGCTATGGTAGTTTTCGTTGGATGAACTTGATGTAACGTTGGTATCGTATAATGAAACGGTGTCCGACTCCTATTATGTGTCCTATTGCTACTCTTCCCCGCCTATATACCCTGCTGAATGGTATATGTTATGTGCTAGTGTGAGCAAATGCCCCCCCCCCCAAGCCTGCATTGGAACCGGCCTGTCCCCCCTGTACATGTGGCTATGCAGACGCGTATGGTGGCGCGTTACCGAAGGTGGTCTGTTTGAGGCACTCGTCAACGGTACCGGCACGTTCGCGTATTGTTCGCCCTTCATCAGCGAAGATGTCCAATACTATTGCACTGTACGACCACACTTTGCAACCTGCTGTGTAAGATCTGACTGGCGTTTGACGTTTCCAGCTACCCGCTTTCCAACTTCACGTTCAGGTGAGATTTCGAGACATGTGCCCCCCATCCATTGGCACTTATCTGTTGAGAAAGTACCAAAGAGGCGCAACCCGAAGAAGACCCATCAGTGGCCGCACGACTGCAACGCTTGCAGAACAACTATGAGGATTGGGGTATGCGCCGGACGGTTGAGGGCATTCTTGTCGTGCACGATCATGGACACCCGCATATCCTCATGCTGCAGATTGCGAACGCGTTTTTCAAGCTGTGCGTGGATAATTGCACGTTGTGTAGCCATAGCTAACCCTGGCAATGCACATTTATCCCTCTTCAACCGTCGCTTGGTTCCATGCGGTTATCGCACACTGTACCCATCGGCTCAGGCCTGGCGACTATCTCAAACCCGGTGAAGACGAGATCGAAGGACTGAAGCGTCGGCTAGACGACCGCCTTGCGCCTCCGACGAACTCAAGCCAGTTCAACGCTTCGCACGGCGTGGACAACGAATGGGAGATTGGCGACTGCCTCGCGCAATGGTGGAGGCCGAACTTTGAAACGTTTATGGTATGCACATGCGCCGCACCCTTTCCATAAACCATTCAAGGTGCTGAAGCCCGACGTTGCCTCACAGTACCCTTTTATTCCGGCGCATATCACCAAGCCGAAGGAGTGCAAGAAGCTATTCCTCGTCCAGATGCCCGAAAGAAGTTTGTCACCACATTTCTGTCACGACTGAGTTCGAACTGCTCATACCCCCTCAGAGGTCCTCGCGGTCCCGAAGAATATGAAGCTTCTTGCCATTCCTCTGTTCGAGCTTTACGACAATGCGGCAAGGCGAGCAGGCATCACCTGTCCATTCTTCAAGAAACAGCATTGACACTGCCTTCTCAGATACGGTCCTCAGTTGTCTGCCATCCCTCACCTGCTCTCTCGGTTCGTTTCCGTCGAGTCTTCTGTCCCGCATATGATTCAGACTGACGTTCCATCCCTTCAGGTATAACTTCATTTACCAGTAAATCCGCTCGCACTGGTGCAACGTCGAAAAGTAGCCAAGTAGATGTCTATAGTTGTTCTCTAGTACCTATCCAATTCTTGCCGCAACGAATCGATCGACGCCTCAGTTTGACTTGCGCGGGACTATATTGGCTTTCGCGGCGGAGTTTTCCCTAGCTGGTCACCCACAAGCTTCCTACCGAGCTCCTCCACTGCATCCTGAACAATCCTTGTCACTTCCGCCCTCACACGAGCAAGTTGCTCATCCACCTCTGCACCGACCAATTGCTCTCGCTGCATCCTATCGCCAGCGCCTGCGTCTGGCTGACTAATATGTCCTGAGTCCGTCTGCGAGGAAAGCTGAGGTGGATGAGTGACGAGCGGCCTCGTGGTGACGAAGTTAGCCATCCATCCAGTGCCATGTGTTGTCGCGCCGCTATATAGCGCTTCGCTGTCTGCGTTCATCCTTGTTGGAATATCGTTTCCCCGGAGTGCAACGCTCAGACGTTCGGCGGAGATAGGTTGTCCGAACGTGACGCTGAGGTCTTGACCGGGTCGTGGTATAAATTTGTAAGGGACGGACCTGCCCTCCGGCATGAGACGGTCGAAACCTATCGCGAGAACGTCAGCGGTTTTAATCGTGCATAAGCGCCAAACGCGTACCAGTCAACCAGATGGGCACGACTATGGGGGCCTTGCGCGCTTCCATCATGATCCGGCCACTGCGAGGCACGGTCAGCGCCTAAAGAGCCGTGGAAGGGGGCGAGACCAACGACGTACACGCCCCATTTGAACCTGCGCAGCCTGGCCTTCCCGTCTTCCACCGCATACGTGTCAGGCTGATTCACACCACCCTCGCCGAAGAGGTGGACCCAATGCCCCTGGTCGAGCTTTTTTATGGCAGTATCGACGGCGGGCTGATATATACCGCTGCCCCGAAACGTCTCCAGCACTTGGCCCTTGCGGAAGAAGGCAGAAAATATTCTTGCTGAGAGATATGTCATGAACGAGGGTATCATGGAATAGACACCGGAACGCACGGGTTGGTGAACATGATGTCGTGTGCCCCCAAAGACCAGCGAATCGTTCGCGAGTTGAGGTATGCGCGAGTCGGGAGAACACCCCATGCAAGTGGATCGTCTAGGCTGTACCAACGTGAGGAAACGGACTTCTCACAACTGGGATGAACATACGTAGATATATGATTGGAGGCTATTAGGGTTGATTTGCACATTCAGACATATCTCTACCACCGTAGTAGTTCAGTCTCTAACCTGTAATCACTCCTCTGCCATCTTCTACGCGTCCTGCGTCATCCAAAATCTGCAGGAAATTCGAGAGACCTCGGACGGTGACGGAGGCAAATCCAAGGTTCAAGACTGCTTTACAGGTGAGACCAATTGTAGTAACTGTTAGAGTAGATAAGAGCCGATCCATATGGGCATAGGCCTGTGTCGGGGCAGGTTACACCGTTACGGTGGATTCCGACTCCCCCGAAGGAGGGAGTTGGTTTTTGCGCATGGGCCTCGTCACAGTGACAGGGATGTGACCCCAGCCAAAACGTTACAAAAGCGTGATAAAGCGTGATTATCCGCGTTAATCGGACGGACGAGCGCTAGTTTTAGATGGGACGCAGCAGCGTGACATAGTAGGTGTGGGATCGCTTACATCATGTGATAGTATCAGTTCCGAATGTTATCCGTCTGTTTGCCGAGTTGCCGAAGTCAGCGCTGACTTGATAACAATCAGTTACGTAATCGTATGGTCTACTGCGCTTTGGTTTCTCTGCGTAATGACAGTTGCCGCATTTGGGTGGATTTTTGGGCGCTTATACGATAAGATAAGATAACAACTCCATACACATAGGAGCAATGTTGAAAGTCGGTGTCCTTGGATGTCAGTGGAGCTCAAGTAGATGTATCCTG